TTATTTAATTTGCTACGAATTTCAGGCGATAATTTACATTAATAAGTTATTGAATTAAACTGAAACTGTTTACCTCACGATTTACGTATGCCCCTTTAGTTGCAACAGGTGTTATGTTACTCCAGAAGTTCGGAAGGTCAACAACGGTGTTATTGGCCAAGGTAAGAGTAGCGTGCTTGTAATTTCCGCTCAGCATTTCGATGAGGTTAGAAAACATCAGTTGATTAGCGTCCGTAGTCTGAACATGATCACATTTAGCTTGTTGGCCTAAAATAAAAATTTGGTGCGTAAAAAGAAACTAAAGATAACTAGTTTTTATAAGAATATATATATATATATATATATATATATATATATATATATATATATATATATATATATATATATATATATATATATATATATATATATATATATATATATATATATTCTTAAACTTTTATTGGTTAGATTTTGGTTAAAATTTCTAACGCGTTAGACATGTTAAGCAACTCAAACATATCCTTGACAAAACAGACTTACTCGCAATGGCAAAGAAAAGTGTCACAAAAAAGATAGACTTCATGTTGACTTGAGGAAGCTCTGGTAAGCACAGTCTAAATAAAAGAAAAAATGTATAACTAAATGAGTATTTGTCAACAAGGACAACTCTAAAATATAAAAATAATATAGAGATACTTAGAGGCGTTAATCCCGCCATCATAATACGACTAAGAGGAGTGTCGAGGTTAGGAGTGATGATCGCACCGAGTGATTTTCTTCTTATTTCTTAATTTTTAGTGAGGGATCGAACGTTATCTGCCAGAGAGTTGAACACGACACTTTTTCGGCCTTTGTTCAACCAAGAACAAACTACAAGGCAACAGTTGTTTGATTTTGGAGTTGTCTCTCCAGCTAACGAGCCTCATCTGCCCGAGTGTTCGAACTCGAGACTTTTTGGTTTAGCAAGCATGAGCTTTACCGACTCGACTACGCCGGCCAGTTCTATGAATGATTAGTTAAAGTAAAATACTCTTTTAAGTTAAACTGACCATTATTACAAGAGGGTGGGGGTGACAACATGACGTAAACGTGCTAACTATAGAGAAAACAATGCTAGATCCAACTGTATTATTAACGAACTATTGATAATCATCGTTTCTACTAAGTCTGCGTGATTAAAGCTTATACACATACATGTACGCGTATGCGGCATATACTTAAATTGTAGGCCGACACTAATACACATACACACGCGCGCACACACGAACACACACGAACACACACACACACACACACATATATATATATATATATATAAATAAATAAATAAATAAATATATATATATATATATATATATATATATATATATATATATATATAAGTAAAAAGGCCTACTTTGTTTCTTATTGGGGGGGGGATGACACCAAGTGCCGACCGGGTGACACTTGACCTAGCGACGCCATTGACTTTACTTCATTGGTTTATTTGTGTAGCTGAACGTCCCGAGATCCCCAGGGCTATCCTAGCACCCGGGGCTCGCGTATTAGACTACCTTCACAGGGGGATAAGTGTACTGCTTGAATCATCAGTCTCGCTGCATTAGGGACCTCCGCCGGGGTGGGGGGGGAATGGGCTTTAATTTTTTATTTTCATAGTTTCGCCATCTTGATAGTGGTTTTGTGAATAGCAAACTGATCTACTAGAGTAGTGATGTTATACAGTGTAAAAAAAAAAAACATACACATGAGCTGTAGTGTGAAAGATAGGCAAACGTTCAAACGACTTCCATGACTTATTTCCTCTTTTAAATAGTTATATAGGGGTGCTCATAAGCTCCTTTTAATAGATTTGTACAAAACAAAATCAAAAGCAATTACTTCTCTTAATTATTTTTTTTAAAGTACTTACTGAAGAATGACATTGTATAATAAACCGGGAGTGATCTCCCCTAAACTTTCTCGAATATTCTTATATAAAACAACAGGGGATGGGAACTCGGGATATAGTTATGATTTTTAATCCATTTTCAATACTTAAACTTTTTAAAATAAAATAGAATCTCATAGAAAAAAGTATTGCACACCAAGCGAACTCCGAATAAAGATATTCATAATGGTGCGCAATATTATTAGTACTTTATAAATTTAGATGCGATTTTGAGAAATCGGAAATAGCGTAAATTAGTACTTCCCGTCAACGGAAATTACTCAAAATTTGACAGAACGAAGAAAATTAGATTTTTTACTTACATGTGAAATTTCATTTATCTATCTGAAATAGTACTCAAGTTATAGGCTTTTGAAAAATTCAAAGTAGAAAAAGTACCACTTCCGGTTATCGGAATTCGCTCAAAAGTTGATACGGATCTACGATTTTGATAAAATACTTATATATGAAATTTCACCAGCCTAGCTGTAACGGTACTCAAGTTATCGTGTTTACACACACAGACACACAGACACACACACACACACAGACACACACACACAGACATACGGACAAGATTGCAAAATTATGTTTTTCCGTATCAGTGAGGTGTAAAACGTCGAGATTTGTAAAAATCTCGATTTTTTTTGTGTGCACGATTACAATATATATACGAGAAAGTAAAAAGGAAATGTATTTAAAATTAATAACATAAATACAAAAATAAAATAAACCGGGAGTGATCTCCCCTAAACTTTCTCGAATATTCTTATATAAAATAACAGGGGATGGAAACTCGGGCTATAGAAATGATTTTTAATCCATTTTAAATACTTAAAGTTTTAAAAATAGAATAAAATCTCGTAGACAAATTAATTGCACACCAAGTGAACGCAAATAAAAAAAGCGCATAATAGTGCGCAATATTATTAGTACTTTTAAAATTTACATTAGTTTTTTGAGAAATCGGAAGTAGCGTAAATTACTACTTCCAGTCAACGGAAATTACTCAAAATTTAACAGAAGGTAGAGAATTAGATCTTTTACTTACATGTGAAATTTCATTTATCTATCTGAAATAGTACTCAAGTTATAGGCTTTTAAAAAATTCAAAGTAGGAAAAGTACCACTTCCGGTTATCGGAAATCGCTCAAAAGTTGATACGGATCTACGATTTTGATAAAATACTTATATATGAAATTTCGTCAACCTAGCTGTAACGGTACTCAAGTTATCGTGTTTACACACGGACAGACACACACACAGACACACACACACAGACATACGGACAAGATTGCAAAATTATGTTTTTCCGTATCAGTGAGGTGTAAAACGTCGAGATTTGTAAAAATCTCGATTTTTTTTTTTGCACGATTACAATACTTTCTCTATACTACGTATATACGAGAAAGTAAAAACTAAAAATAAATATAGCACGAGACACCATTACTTATACAAAGCTTTCATGTTTCATATTCTTTTGACAAAATAAATGTAGGAGGTCATATAACAGAGATAATATAAAACAGATGTTCAAAACAGACTAATCTACCGCCCCCCCCCCTTCCTTGAACGAAATGGAATTTATATAGAATATATATATATATATATATATATATATATATATATATATATATATATATATATATATATATATATATATATATATATATATATACTTTTAACAGTGTCCACCCCCCCTCTCGAAATTTTCAAATGCCACCCCCCCCCCCCACCGAGAAAAAAAAGTTTGGAAGAAACACTGGTTATTACAATTTGAAGTTCTGCCTATCTTTTACACTAAAGCTTGTGTAGTGGTTTTTTAATATTTGCCTGAAGAACTTGTGATAGTGACTGTAGAAAGAATAAATATAATCGTACCGCTGCTACAGAATTTTATTTTACAAAACAAGCATCCACCCCCTGCCCCTCACTTTACTTTATCGGGCAGTGTGGTAGCCCAGAAAATTACAAAGGAAGAAGAAACTTATATTGTACATTGCCCAGGTCTTGGATTATATAGAACGAGCTGACCCGTATCACACGCCGCTATTTAGTTTTATTTTCTACTTTTCAGTAATTCATAATTTGTGAATTCGACAGTACCAATATATATTTGCTTTGAAACACTAGAACCATCCTTTCCCCCAACCCCACCCCCCCCCGGTGAAAGCAGCCTCCTCATAGTTACCTCCCCTAAGTTTAAAATCGTTTCATACTATATTATCTGCCCCTAATAAGCGTCACTAAACCCGGCTCTACGATTGTAAACATTTAACGTGAACCACAGCTCACCAGAACATGTGGCCTAGAGAGGAAGAGAGGGGACTGTTAGGCGCCAGAGGCGTAGCGATGGGTGGGCAGGGGGTACATATGTCCCCGACCTTAGGGAGCGCCAAAATGGGTTGTAAAAACAAATTCAAATGTCATTTAAGCTGCATTTTTGCAAATCGAAAGTTTGAGGGGGGGGGGGTGCAAATCGAAAGTTTGAGGGGTGAAAGATTGAAAGTTTGTCCCCGGGTGCTGGGAAGGGTCGCTACGCCTCTGCTTGACACGCTTACAGCTTGGTGTTTTCTAACGTCTCCAAGAAGAGAATTATATATAGAAATGACATACAAGTTACAAGGTAATGTGTTGTCTAATCACTAACCAGCTATCGCTTGTGTTTTAGGTTAAAATAACAAGCTCAATGATTTCTGCGATAAAAAGGGATATATTACGCTTAGACTTACGGCGTACAAACTCTTGATCAATGTGTTCAGGTGTTTGGTATGTCCAATCTACTGTATAGACGTCTCAGAGAACAGTTGCAAACTCCCGTTATAGGCGTGTATTATGAATTATATAACACAACAATACCACGCCCCTAATTCAGTGGATAGAGATAGTTGAGGCTCCTCGGTTATCCAATACTTTTAGTTTACTTTGAATCCACTTGGACGAATCGGCTAACAGTTTCTGTTGCCACGCCCTCTCTTTCGTTTGTCCCAACCCCTCACCGAAGGAAATATTATAGATTATAAATGTCTGTGGCGATTGTAACACACACACGCACACACACACACACACACACACACACACACACACACACACATATATATATATATATATATATATATATATATATATATATATATATATATATATATATATATATAATATATATATATATATATATATATATATATATATATATATATATATATATATATATATATATATATATATATATATATCTTACAGCTCCCTAGAAACATGTTCATGTGAGTGGGTTATCCCCCCCCCCCCCCTCAACGACTGGACGAGACTGCGTTATTGTGTAGAGCAGGGGTCTCCAAACTTTTCAGCCCGAGGACACATTAACTATCAAATTTCGGTTAGGGGGCCAGTTTCTTTCAGGCATGTCTTTGGGGTGGGAGCCCCTTTCTCCCCCCCCCCCCCACGAAGAACGTCTACCCACCTCAACGAAATATAATTTATATAGAAATATATACAAATTTCAAGTGCCCCCCCCCCCTCTCCCGGAGTAAAAAGGCTGAAAGAAACATTGTCGGGGGCCGACAACACGCTCGAGGTCCAAGTTTGCTCTAAAATTGTTCTTCACGTATTTCATTCTTGAAAATGTTTGTTTCTTTCAACATGTCTCTGAACTATCTATGGTTGAACTTGAACCCATGTGGCTCTATTAAATTCACCACCTTCACCACAGGATTCAGTACACTGCTAACGTACATATATTTAGCACACAAAGCTTGCTGGTGAATAATACAGTGCAGGAACCTTGGTTGTAGAATTGATTTCTCACTCGCTTGTCCAACCAAGCCTTTCTTTATGCCACTCATGTTAGTCCTGTCCAAGTTATAATCAGCAAGTGTTTTTTTAAACTCATTGAATATATCCTCTCCGGTAACAGTGCCAACCGTGTTATGTAGGAAAGCCAGCTCTTCTGTTATGTTCATGTCTTCATCTAAACCTCTAATGAACACAAGCGACTCATCAATTGTACTTGATAAATGGCAAAATTTGTTTGCATTTTTCGCTATTCTATTTTTCGCAATGTTTCCCCCATGTCTGCAACATGTCTTTGCACCTAAAGCTACATTCTCAAATTGTTTTGAATTTTATGGACAAAGTTCCTCAGTCACCTCCAACAAATGTTTTGTACGTGGACAAAAATATCTCCGCGGGCCGGATGAGAGGACCTCGAGGGCCGCATCCGGCCCGCGGGCCGTAGTTTGGAGACCCCTGGTGTAGGGTGTTAATTTGCCACCATAGGTGTACGCAGGTAGGAGTATATACTAAAACTGGAGACCTTTGTTTTAGCGGTCGTGCGCTCTACGGCTATGTGACAATGCCACGTAGCATCATTTTTTTTGTTTACAGCAAACGAAATATATGAAACAGAGTTGTCTAACCTGTGATTATATCCACAACAAAGTTTAATTTAATTTAATTTTTTACCCGCATGAGATGTTCCGATGATTGATAGAATGTTATACTAGACTCTTTCAAAAACAACAACAAACCAATATATTTTATTTCATAAAGCGTTTTAACAAAGAATTACAATATTTACCCAAGTAATTTAATTACATTTTTAAAAACTTCTTTATTAAGGTAATTTTTCTAGCTGGTTAACTGTAATGAATAACCGTAGAGATATATAAGGCTCATCTGGAATAATAATATCCAAAGCTTTGATAATACCTATACTTAAATATCGGTCTCCTGCATATGTAATATTTATAATTAATGTTTGTGAGATACGTTTGTTTAGAAACAGTTGCAGATTTTTAATGTGAGGTTATATGTAAAACTATGGGTGTGGGAATAACGTTTCTTCGTTAGCAACAGAACGTTAGATTCTTTAATGTCTCTTCTTCTTCTTGTTGTTTCATACTGTTGTGACCTGTTGTCTCATCCTGTTGTGACCTGTTGTCTTCTCTCATCCTGTTGTGGCCTGTTGTCTCATCCTGTTGTGACCTGTTGTCTTGTCTCATCCTGTTGTGACTTGATGTCTTGTCTCATCCTGTTGTGGCCTGTTGTCTTGTCTCATCCTGTTGTGGCCTGTTGTCTCATCCTGTTGTGACCTGTTGTCTCATCCTGTTGTGGCCTGTTGTCTCATCCTGTTGTGACCTGTTGTCTCATCCTGTTGTGACCTGTTGTCTCATCCTTTTGTGATCTCTTGTCTTGTCTCATCCTGTTGTGACCTGTTGTCTTGTCTCATCCTGTTGTGACCTGTTGTCTCATCCTGTTGTGATCTGTTGTCTCATCCTGTTGTGACCTGTTGTCTCATCCTGTTGTGACCTGTTGTCTCATCCTGTTGTGACCTGTTGTCTCATCCGGTTGTGACCTGTTGTCTTCCTGTTGTGACCTGTTGTCCTGCCTAATCCTGTTGTGACCTGTTGTCTCATCCTGTTGTGACCTGTTGTCTTGTCTCATCCTGTTGTGACCTGTTGTCTTGTCTCATGCTGTTGTGACCTATTGTCTCATCCTGTTGTGACCTGTTGTCTCATCCTGTTGTGACCTGTTGTCTTGTCTCATCCTTCTGTGACCTGTTGTCTCATCCTGTTGTGACCTGTTGTCTCATCCTGTTGTGGCCAGTTGTCTCATCCTGTTGTGACCTGTTGTCTCATCCTGGTGTGACCTGTTGTCTCATCCTGTTATGGCCTGTTGTATTGTCTAATCCTGTTGTGACCTGTTGTCTCATCCTGTTGTGGCCTGTTGTCTCATCCTGTTGTGGCCTGTTGTCTTGTCTTATCCTGTTGTGATCTGTTGTCTTGTCTTATCCTGTTGTGATCTGTTGTCTTGTCTCATGCTGTTGTGGCCTGTTGTCTCATCCTGTTGTGACCTGTTATCTCATCCTGTTGTGGCCTGTTGTCTTATCCTGTTGTGGCCTGTTGTCTCATCCTGTTGTGGCCTGTTGTCTTATCCTGTTGTGGCCTGTTGTCTCATCCTGTTGTGGCCTGTTGTCTCATCCTGTTGTGGCCTGTTGTCTTATCCTGTTGTGGCCTGTTGTCTCATCCTGTTGTGGCCTGTTGTCTCATCCTGTTGTGGCCTGTTGTCTTATCCTGTTGTGGCCTGTTGTCTCATCCTGTTGTGGCCTGTTGTCTCATCCTGTTGTGGCCTGTTGTCTTGTCTCATCCTGTTGTGACCTGTTGTCTTGTCTCATCCTGTTGTGACCTGTTGTCTCATCCTGTTGTGACCTGTTGTCTTGTCTCATCCTGTTGTGATCTGTTGTCTCATCCTGTTGTGGCCTGTTGTCTCATCCTGTTGTGACCTGTTGTCTTATCTTATACTGTTGTGACCTGTTGTCTTGTCTCATCCTGTTGTGACCTGTTGTCTCATCCTGTTGTGACCTGTTGTCTCATCCTGTTGTGGCCTGTTGTCTCATCCTGTTGTGACCTGTTGTCTTGTCTCATCCTGTTGTGACCTGTTGTCTCATCCTGTTGTGACCTGTTGTCTCATCCTGTTGTGGCCTGTTGTCTCATCCTGTTGTGACCTGTTGTCTCATCCTGTTGTGACCTGTTGTCTCATCCTGTTGTGGCCTGTTGTCTCATCCTGTTGTGGCCTGTTGTCTTGTCTCATCCTGTTGTGGCCTGTTGTCTCATCCTGTTGTGACCTGTTGTCTCATCCTGTTGTGGCCTGTTGTCTTGTCTCATCCTGTTGTGGCCTGTTGTCTCATCCTGTTGTGGCCTGTTGTCTTGTCTCATCCTGTTGTGACCTGTTGTCTCATCCTGTTGTGAACTAATGTCTTGTCTCATCCTGTTGTGACCTGTTATCTCATCCTGTTGTGACCTGTTGTCTCATCCTGTTGTGGCCTGTTGTCTCATCCTGTTGTGACCTGTTGTCTCATCCTGTTGTGGCCTGTTGTCGTGTCTCACCCTGTTGTGACCTGTTATCTCATCCTGTTGTGACCTGTTGTCTCATCCTGTTGTGGCCTGTTGTCTCATCCTGTTGTGACCTGTTGTCTTGTCTCATCCTGTTGTGACCTGTTGTCTCATCCTGTTGTGACCTGTTGTCTCATCCTGTTGTGAACTGTTGTCTTGTCTCATCCTGTTGTGACCTGTTGTCTCATCCTGTTGTGACCTGTTATCTCATCCTGTTGTGACCTGTTGTCTCATCCTGTTGTGACCTGTTGTCTCATCCTGTTGTGGCCTGTTGTCTCATCCTGTTGTGGCCTGTTGTCTCATCCTGTTGTGGCCTGTTGTCTCATCCTGTTGTGGCCTGTTGTCGTGTCTCACCCTGTTGTGGCCTGTTGTCTCATCCTGTTGTGACCTGTTGTCTCATCCTGTTGTGGCCTGTTGTCTCATCCTGTTGTGGCCTGTTATCTCATCCTGTTGTGACCTGTTGTCTCATCCTGTTGTGACCTGTTGTCTCATCCTGTTGTGGCCTGTTGTCGTGTCTCACCCTGTTGTGGCCTGTTGTCTCATCCTGTTGTGACCTGTTGTCTCATCCTGTTGTGGCCTGTTGTCTCATCCTGTTGTGGCCTGTTGTCTCATCCTGTTGTGGCCTGTTGTCGTGTCTCACCCTGTTGTGACCTGTTGTCTCATCCTGTTGTGACCTGTTGTCTCATCCTGTTGTGGCCTGTTGTCTCATCCTGTTGTGGCCTGTTGTCGTGTCTCATCCTGTTGTGACCTGTTGTCTCATCCTGTTGTGACCTGTTGTCTCATCCTGTTGTGACCTGTTGTCTCATCCTGTTGTGACCTGTTGTCTCATCCTGTTGTGGCCTGTTGTCGTGTCTCATCCTGTTGTGACCTGTTGTCTCATCCTGTTGTGACCTGTTGTCTCATCCTGTTGTGGCCTGTTGTCTCATCCTGTTGTGACCTGTTGTCAAATCCTGTTGTGGCCTGTTGTCTCATCCTGTTGTGGCCTGTTGTCTCATCCTGTTGTGGCCTGTTGTCTCATCCTGTTGAGACCTGTTGTCTCATCCTGTTGTGACTTGTTGTCGTGTCTCATCCTGTTGTGGCCTGTTGTCTCATCCTGTTGTGGCCTGTTGTCTCATCCTGTTGTGACTTGTTGTCGTGTCTCACCCTGTTGTGACCTGTTGTCTCATCCTGTTGTGACCTGTTGTCTCATCCTGTTGTGACTTGTTGTCGTGTCTCACCCTGTTGTGACCTGTTGTCTCAGCCTGTTGTGACCTGTTGTCTCATCCTGTTGTGGCCTGTTGTCTCATCCTGTTGTGACCTGTTGTCTCATCCTGTTGTGACCTTATGTCTTGTCTCAACATACTGTGGCTGTTTCTTTATAGTTTTTTAAATTTTTCATTATTATATATTTAAATTAAATCTTTTTTTTTCGTTTTCTTATTCTAATATTAAATAACAGATTGTCATCTAAAATGTGTATATCATTTTTAAAAAACTTCCAGCGTTTAATTAACATGCTTGCTTAATTGCTATTTAGGCTTGTTGATTTAACTATTTGTGTTTTGAACCAGACTTCATAGATAAAATATGGTGGAACAATCAGTTTGCTCTTAGAAAGCGTAGAGGTCCCCTTTCACCCCAACTACCACGGCGTTATTCATACAGGCAGGCAGGGAGTTATATCTGTTAGTTGTACTGTTTTCCCTCCAAATAAAAATTACTAAGCAATGCGTACCAGCATGTCATGCAGCATGTGTTTTGTTCATTGGCTCCGGCTTTCTTTCTGTATGTGTACCATAGCCTTTCAGAGTTTCTTCAAGGCATCTCTTCGGGGCTTTGCCCCCCCCCCCCCCGAAAAATTTTTACCGCCCCCCCCCCCCGAACGAAATGAAATTTATATAATTTATATAGAAAATATATACTTTTAACAGTGTCGCCCCCCCCCCCCCCCGAAGAAAGTTTACCGCCCCGAAAATTTCAAGTGCCCCCCCGGAGAAAAAAGTCTGGAAGAAACACTCTAGCCTTTGATCAAGAAAGAACAATTGGTTTTTACTCAAATTGTATCACACGTTAGTTCTGTGTTACTTTTATTTACAATTTACACATTTATTTTGTAGCTCTGTCGGATTTGTAGAATATAGATCAAAACATAAAGAACTGAAAAGATTTTTTAAATGGTTTATTTATCACTAAACACGACAAAACAAATAGGTAATTTTTCTTCAATTCAAATGCATTTATTTATTTGGAAATTTAATTTTAACTTTTCAATATGATCTAATTTCAAATCTTATTTTTATAAATTTTTATTTTCTTGCCTAAGACTATATTTCAAAATGCCATAATAAAAAACATGTTATTTTTTTTTGCATTGAGTTTAAAATTAAAGCCAGTTGCAGCACCATTAGTAGATGAATATCAGCTGCTACGAAAGCTACGTACGTCCACAGGGTTTCGGATTTTTTCTGTAGGTGTTTACATAAGATGGAAAGGCAGTGCTGTAGAAAAAAGTAAATGTTGTTTTAACTTGGCTATAGCACTTTAACAATAAAAAAAGTAAGTATTGATGCATTTCAAACATAAAATTAACAGTACAATAGTGGGCTCAACCCTACGCACAGCCGCCTTTGCTTTGCTGGAGACGCTGTTCTGAATTTTGAGCCAGATTCGAACTCGAGCAGTCCATCGCTCTACCTCCAGGCCACGCCGCACCTCATATTTTCTCCTTTCGTTAAAGGGTATAAATTTTATCTAAAAATCATACACATTAGAGAAGTCGCATGCAAATAAAAGTAAGAAATAAGAGTTTACAATCTCCAGGGGCTTTTGTCCATTTTGAAAACTGTTAGATCAGGGTGGGTGAGATGCAAGCCAGTGCAGTTAAAAACTCCAGTTAGGTATGGTGGGTCCTACAACATAAAAGCCAAAAAGGTAACTGTATCAAAACATGTATATATATATATAAATATATATATATATATATCTATATATATATAAATATATATATATATATAAATACATCTATATATATCTATATATAATCTATATATAATTATATATATATATATACATATATATATATATATATATATATATATATATATATATATATATATATATATATATATATATATATATATATATATATATATATATATATATGTACATATATAAATGTATATGTATATATATATATATATATATATATATATATATATATATATATATATATATATATATATATATATATATATATATATACATATATATATATATATATACATATATATATATATATATATATATATATATATATATATATATATATATATATATATATATATATATATATATATATATATATATATATATATATATATATATATATATATATATATATATATGTATATATATATATATATATATATATATATATATATATATATATATATAAATATTTATATTCAGGAATTCTTTAAGCTATTCAAAATAAAGATTATAAAAAATTGCTTTCAAGGAGGCTGTGTTTTGATGTTTTTCTAACCAATCTAGTGTTTGATGCGAGGTGTATTACCGATATCGGCAATATGCCAGCGTTCATACACAATCTGAGTTCTCTCTATACCTTTGGGTGTGCATCATCCAATGGGCACACCGCGAATGAAACTACAAAGGCATCGGTCCTGTATTCGTCGCGAGAGAAAACGTTGTCACAGTGTGGGAAGTTTTCAACCATATCAGCGGTGAGGGTGTCTTGGAAATACTCTGATGCCACAAGCAAGCTATTATTTGAACTAAAACATATATATATATATATATATATATATATATATATATATATATATATATATATATATATATAAATATACATATGTATGTGTAAGAGTAGTGTGTGTACGTGTATGTGTAGGTGAATATGAATGTTTACAGTTATGTAAATGTATGTGTATGTGTATGTGTATGTGTATGTGTATGTGTATGTGTATGTGTATGTGTATGTGTATGTGTATGTGTATGTGTATGTGTATGTGTTTGTGTATGTGTATGTGTATGTGTATGTGTATGTGTATGTGTATGTGTATGTGTATGTGTATGTGTATGTGTATGTGTATGTGTATGTGTATGTGTATGTGTATGTGTATGTGTATGTGTATGTGTATGTGTATGTGTATGTGTATGTGTATGTGTATGTGTATGTGTATGTGTATGTGTATGTGTATGTGTATGTGTATGTGTATGTGTATGTGTATGTGTATGCGTATGCGTATGTGTATGTGTAATTGTATATGTAATTGTATACGCAATTGTATATGTAATTGTATATATAATTGTGTATGTAATTGTGTATGTAATTGTGTATGTAATTGTGTATGTAATTGTGTATGTAATTGTGTATGTAATTGTGTATGTAATTGTGTATGTAATTGTGTATGTAATTGTGTATGTAATTGTGAATGTAATTGTGTATGTAATTGTGTATGTAATTGTGTATGTAATTGTGTATGTAATTGTGTATGTAATTGTGTATGTAATTGTGTATGTAATTATGTATGTAATTGTATATGTAATTGTATATGTAATTGTATATGTAATTGTTTATGTAAGTGTTTATGTAATTGTATATGTAATTGTATATGTAATTGTATGTAATTGTATATGTAATTGTATATTTAATTTTATATGTAATTGTACATGTAATTTTGTATATGTAATTGTATATGTAATTGTATATGTAATTGTATATGTAATTGTATATGTAATTGTATATGTAATTGTATATGTAATTGTAT